AATGGTCTCCAAGCTTCCCTGGGTCTCAGCCCACTGTGGAACTCTGAAGGACCCCAGAGTAATGGCAGAAGGGTCCGCATGGATACAAGTCTACATATAATTCGGGGACCCCAGCAACCCCCAGGGCAATGTAATCAGAATCATCCATGGGTGTTCAAAGATGCAGATTCCCAGGCTCCGTCTATTGCAGATCAAGCTTTCTGGGATTTTATTTCTCCCCAAATTCCCCAGTGATTCAGATGCAGGGGGCATCTGTGAACCTCCAGCTAAAATCCCCAGGTAGGTCCTGTTACTCATATCAGACACATCCTTAGGGACAGCTGCAAGATCCTCCGTCTATTGCAGATCAAGCTTTCTGGGATTTTATTTCTCCCCAAATTCCCCAGTGATTCAGATGCAGGGGGCATCTGTGAACCTCCCCAGGTAGGTCCTGTTACTCATATCAGACACATCCTTAGGGACAGCTGCAAGATCCTCCCTCAAACGCCATCAGGGGAAGGGAGCTGGAGGAGACCTTTGTCTTTTCTACCTATAGAGTGGAACCAGAAGAGGCTGCAGCTGGGCCTGGGTGGGAAGACAGACCCAGGACAAGATCGGTGCCACCTTCCATCCAGCCAGCTGCCCCAGCCTGTGCTTTTCCACTGAGAACATTCCCTCTGCCCAGGAAAATCATTATCAGACCAGCAGCAACAGCAGAAGCTGTTCCCCAGCCTAGGAAGAAAGGTTCCAGAGAAGAGTTCGTTTTCTCTTTTCATACAAAAAAAAAAAAGAAAGATCAGGTCCCAGGAGAGGACACCAAGGTCCGAGTGCACCAGGAGGATGGTCTGGCCGTGTCCTGCCTGCCACCAGCTGAGTCCCGAGAAACCCTCGGAGAGCCGTGAGCAGCTTCCTCTGAGTTTGCTCGGCCAGGACGTCAATTTGTTGACTCTAGAGCCCAATCCCTAGCTCATGATTTCCTCCCTGGTTGCCATGGCCCCGTACAGAAAACACAGCAAACTCCTGGCCCTGGGCAGCTCATTTATTTCAAATATTCCTTGCAGCTGGAATCCAACCATGTTTGGGTGTCTGGACTGGAGCATGAACTAATTGCTCTGTCTTCGGCCCCCTCCCCAGCTCCCCCAGCATAGTTTATGGTTCAGTAAAGTCCACATTCCTCACCTCGCCGAGGAGCGGGAGGGCGGCCGGGAGGGAGGGAAGCTGTGTGTATAAGGATGCGGACGGGAGGACTCTTCCCATCTACGGCCAAGCCCTGAGAGTCCGCTACCTGCTCGAAGGCAGGGGATTAATTACAACCACATGGGCCAAGTCTGCACAGATGGTTTTATTAATATTGCTCCCTTCAGCACAAAACCCTGCTCCCCCAGAAGTCTCCCGGCAGCACAAAGGCTCTTATTTTCCCTGTGCCTCCCCCGGCCCCCAACGCCTGACCCCGATCCTCCCCTGCCACCCTCTTCAAAGGAAGCCAGAGTTCCCACTGCAACCCAGACATGAACTCCAACCTAAAAATAATTTTAGACCACCTCTTTCCTCTGATCGTGTCTGGAGAAGGAAGGCATCTAGGAGTCCCTTTTCCCAAGACCCACCTTGATTTTTGGAGACTATACCTGGGAAGAAAGAACATTTATTAGGAAGTTGGTTTAGGAATGTTTGGTCCATCCTCAAAGACAAAGTTCCAATGCAGGAACTGCCTTTTTCCAGAAGTGCACAAGCGTTTAAAGTATTTGTTTGCACACCTGCTAAGATGCTGGGTCCTGTTTTGAGAGCCGCATCTTGCCCTCGATGCCCTCCCATGAGACAGGCGCTACGATGCCTGCCGTTTTACAGAGGCTTATCCAAGGCCACAGAGCTCATATTTGAACCCAGGTCTGAGTCAGGAGTCCATGTGCTTGTCTCTGGGCCAAGCCACCAACACACTGAAATAATTTCCCTTTACCCAGCAACTTTGCTAGAGAAAGAGCTGACGCTGTCACAAACAGTGGTATTCAAATTCTCTCAGGCGAGGTCAGCTGGGGAGTTTGGGGAAAATGCAGGTTCCTGGGCCTGGCCCCCAAAATGTTGATTTGGTCCATCTAAGGCAGGGCCCTGGAACCTGCATTTTAGAAAACCTCCCAGGTGGTCTAAGGAAAACTCGTCAGGAGGCTCTTGGAGAGAGGGACATGGGACACTGGTCCCAGGGGTCTTGGGACCCTCAGGCCAGGCACTTTTCATGGCACCACCAGATCCTGACATGCCTTTAGAATTTGCAATCCCCACAGCAAGTTGAATGTACTCTTGCAAATTCTTTGGACTCTAGTAATGACATATGATCGCATCTAGCAAATTTCTTGACTGTTCTCTTTATCACTCATCGATTCTCTAAGTAAGCCAGAATTTCCTGTCCTTTCTGCTCACAGCACTGGCAGGACGGGCTCACTTGGCAAAGGCCCCTTGAGTGTCACTGTGCACTTGGCACCAGGGACACAAAGACGAACGAGGAGGGCCGGCCCGGTGGCGCACTGGAGAGTGCGCCGCTTGGGAGCATGGCGGCGCTCCTGCCGAGGGTTTGGATCCCATGTGGAGACCGGTTCCCGCTCACTGGCTGAGCGCGGTGCAGGCGCAACACCGAGGGTTGCGATCCCGTTGCCGGTCCCTGGTACGGGCGCGACACTGAGGGTTGCAATCCCGTTACCGGTCAGTAAAAATGACAAAAAGGAAAAAAAAAAAAAAAGACGAACGAGGAATCTGCTCCTTCCGCTGAGCGCCCAGAGCCTGAACTCTGAGGATGCCCACAATGGCTCACGAAAGCCCATGGCCAACTCCAGCTTTATAACCGTACGGATGAACCAGGGGCACTCACTCATGTGCGCAGTCTCTTTCTATTAGGCGCAGCATGTTTCCTTCATTTGGGCTGTCAGGCTTATGAACTTCTGAAAAGGGGATGGGGACGTTCTGAGATCAGCCCTCCAGGACTGGGGCTCTGGGTGGCATCTCACCCTCTGCCAAGAGGTGGCACCGAATCCCGCCTCATCTGTTGACGACTGTGGGCAGGGGAGCTGCTGGACCCAGGAGGGGTCAGCCTCGCCTCTTTGCCCTCCCCCAAGGCACAAAGGAGGTACTCAGAAGTGGTTTTATATTTTAACAAACTTTCCTTTATTAGGTAACTATTATCAACCATCATAAAATAGAACTGGAGTTTCAAAACTGTACAAGCCACACGGCTCTGGGTTGATAGGAAAAAGTGGGGAGTCGGGGGGTGGGGAAGGCAGAGCCCGGAGACTCACCCAGCGCCCCGCGGGACGGCTGGGTCAAGGCGATAAGCTGGGATCTGTACAAGGGAAACTCTCGCGCGCGACATTCATCAGAACGTGACCCACCCTGACACAGGAGCGAGTTGAATCTTGAAAAGCCTTACAGGTAAGGTCCCTTGTCCCGAAAAGAAAAACCTTCAAAGTAGTAAGGGGATAATTTACATTCCTCGCCCAGTCTTGGCACCAATTTTGTGCTTTAAAAAATATACTCCATTGGAAGATTTTTTTTTAAAAGGTACCCTACAGCAGCTGTTTAAAACACAATTCTTACAAACAAACATATATATATGAATATATATTAAACATTTTAAACAAATAAAGTCATCTATTGTACCTGTGCAGAAATGAACCGAAGTCGACTCTGAGGTGACTTCAAGAGAAAAGCAATGGCGGGGTGGTGGCAGGTGCTGGGGGATGCTACGTGGGGAGGTGTTGGACGGGGCATCCCTCTCTTGCTGGCTGCCCTGCACCGCCCCTCGTGAGGCTCTGAGGGGGGGTCGTGATGCCTGGAGGTTGCTCCACTCGGTCCTGGAGCCTGGGCAGGGCACTGAGCAGAGGCCCGACTCTGTCCCCGATCTTACCCTCCTGCCCTGTCCCTAGCTTCTCAGTGGATGGAGACCCACCCACCCTCCCTTCTTAGTTCTAGTGGTCCCCAGGCATACCCAGAGCTTCTGAGGATACACCCGGGAAGTGTCAGCTAGAAAAGCAAAAGCAAACCCACACCACCGAGCCCAGAGAAGACTGCAGAACTACGACCCTGGGCGAAGATGGACGCGCCCAAGAGGTAAGTGGCTACCTGAAGACACGGGGAAACTGCCACTACCCTTTTGGACAGGCTCCCTAAGCAACGTGAGGCTAATTCTCCCTGAGGGGCCCGCTCGGGAACTTGGAGCAGAACCCTCTGGAAACTGTAAGTCAAGGGACCCAAAGACACCCTGTTCCTGCGCACCTGTGCACACGTGCCACAGGCATGACCCAAGGAGGACAGGTGAGGCACACACATCCCAGGGAGGCAGCAGGTGGAAGAACCAACAGAACACGCCAGAGAGGTGACTGAAACAAGGTTTCCTTTCTAAGTGGAATAAATAAATGGCTTTTGTTATTGTTGAAAGAATAAATACAGGGTACGGGGGCACCGTCAGCCGGGGTCGATGCTGCCGGGTGCTTGTTTGCCTGCAGAAGGTCCGAGTTTGGTTTCTGTCTTGGGTCCGTGGTGAGTTTTTGACATCCTGAGCTTCACCTGCCGCAGCAGGCCCCGCTGGGCTGGGCACCGGTGGCGTGGCCCCAGCCCTCATCGAAGCACCTCTTAGCACTCCTGGTATCTGCTCCCAGAGCCCAGCACTTCCCACCGGCCCCAACACCCTGGGCCCCAGGTGGCTGCAGCCTCCTCCCAAAGGTGTGGGGAGCACCTTATCCCACCCCGAGAGCAGATCGGAGCTCAGTGTAGGGCTTTAGTAGGAGTTTATTCTTTGTCTTTTTTCAAGGAGGGGCTGGAATACAGCATGCAGGGATACTGCCTTCTGCCAATGTCAGGAAGGGGAAGAGAGGAGCCCGGGTTGGAATCTGTCCGTGTCCAGCTGGGGAGGCAGAGGAGGACAAGCAGGCTCTCCTGCCCGGGGCTGCGGCCGCCGGTCCAAGGTGCAGGGGTGCAGGGTGATGGCCCCAGCGGCCCGCGGCTCAGTGAGTTGGCACCAGGGGGCTGTTGTGCTGGTGGTCCCCAGGCAGAGCGTCACTGGTAGAGGAGGTAGGCCTTGAGGGAGGCGGGCAGAGGCAGCGTGTGGATCTCACCCAGGCGCTGCTTCCCCAGGGCCAGGCGCACCGAGCGGCGACAGAGATCCATGAGCGGCAGGGGCTCGGCTGGGGAGACCAAGGGGACAGACAAGTGCAGGTCAGCACAGCTCGGATGGTTCCAGAGCAAACGATACTAACAACCAGAGCAACACTATCCATGGTTACTATTTATTGTAATAAAGAAACAATAATTCAGTAATGCGATTTTAAACTTTAATATCAGTAGCCGACACAGGGAACCCACTCCGGGCCGGGCACCTGCGTAAGCCCTCTGCAAACACGAACTCAGTCCCCACCGTGGTTAGTTACGAACGATTGAATAAGCACACAGAGACCATTACCATCATGCCCATTTTACAGATGAAGAAACTAACTCTATTTAGATAGAGTCTAAATAACTTGCCCAGACCTGTGCGGCTGGCAGGAGATGGAGCTGGGATTTGGAGCCAGCCAGCCCTGCTCTTCCTGGCAGGCCACTCTACCCTGTCAGACAAGCAGCAGCTCAACGTGTGTGGGTCTGGGGCAAGGGACAGCTGGCGCTCCCCAGCAGGTGCCCCTAGCAGCGATCCTATGCTGGCGTTAGGAGGGGAATCGTTCTGTTGCCCGCTGCTCTCGGGTGCTGTCTCATCTCTGTGAGGCACAGGCACCTCACATGCCGGGGTTGTACACAGGCTGACATCTGTGCCCTGCATCCACATTCTCAGCCACCAAATCACACTGCCAATTAGGACCTAAGAAATGCTGGCCCGAGTCACATGTTACGGCAGCAGAGCTGAGGAGCCAACAGCAAGTCAGCGATGGAGAAACCCCAGGTCCCTGTGCTCCCGTCCACCTGGGCCACCTCCCCCAACTGCCCCAGCCACCACCGGGGTGTCTCACCGCCAGGGGAGCTAATGGCAAAGTGGACTAAAGACTGGCTTCTAGCTGCAGCCTTTGAGGGCACCTCGGTCCTGTGTCCCCAGAGGGCCTGGGCTGCCTTCTGACAAAGGAGGCTCTGTTCGGCCTGCATCTCAGATAAACGCTCTGCTCCAGACTCCAGGAGTTTCAATATCCTTCCCGCCGACGCTTCTGCGTGCCCTGCTCACCCTACCTCCCCAGGGGACCCCTCTCCACTCTCCTCCCCAAAACCAGGTGTAGGTGAGCACTCCTGGAACTGCTGGTGCCACCCCACAGTGCTGTGGGGACGGAAAGAGCAGAAATGGATGGATTTGTGGCTTCGACCATGGCTTCCCCTTGACTTTGAGACTCTTTTATGAGTCAAGTAAAGGTAAAAATAATAATAATAATAAAAAAATCCCTGTCCCATTCCACCAATAAAAAGTGGATTAAAGTTCTTTAGTATTCACCAATGTGTCTCAAAAATATTAAAAATAACATTTAAAAACTCGATTATTGAAGACCCAATCCTATGGCTGGGAGAGGGAGGAAGGGAGAGACTGCTAATGGGTACAGGCTTCTTTCTGGGGTGGTAAAAATGTTCTAAAATTGACGGTGGTGATGTCTGCTCACCTCTGACTACTGGAGGCCACTGAATTGGACGCCAGAAGAAAAAATGAGTGAATTTTAAGGTATGTGAATTATAGCTCAATAAAGCTGTTATTAAAAAAAGAATAAATCTTAGGCTTGATAATGCGTTTACTAAAGTCCAGGCTTTGAAAGAAGATAAACCACTGCTCCTCATCTCCAGGAATGGAGACGGTAAATGTTTTTAATGGAAAGCTTTGAACTGGGGCCTTTCCTGGACAGTTTAGGAGGTTAAGAGGAACTCCGCCGGGGGCAGGAGGAAGAGCTAAATGACCTTCGTCCTTTGGTGGAGCAGGGCTGGGTCCCACACACCTGCCGGGTCACAGGCTGGGTCTGTCTCCCTCTTGTAGAACGTCTCCCTCCAGACCTGGCTCCTCACTTCCGCCCTGCACAGCAGCCTGACCTAGAGCAGATCATGCCCTCTGCCTGGGCAAGACTCTCCCCCAAGTCCCGTCCAGCTGAGATCCTAAAGACCAGAAATGCTTCATCGCAGCTCTCGGCCTGGGCTTGGCTATGGAGAAGCAGCCCTTCTGCACGATGGAGTGGGGGGATTTGGCTGAGCCTCCTCTTCTCTGCTCAGGAGCTCTCTTCCGTTTGTCCCTGTCTGGGTCAAAGGGCCTGGGCGGCCCCGAGCCCCCTTGCTGGAGGATGTGGCTCAGCTCCCACTGGGGGGTGGAGGGGCTTCCCCTGGTAGGTGGATGGCCCTTGAGAAATCGTTAAGAGCCATCAAATGTGGCTTAAGAGCCCTGCCAGGCCGTGGGGACCAGGGCTGACAGGGAGTTCCCAGCACCACCCTCTTGGCTTGATGGGTTTCAGGTCAGCTCAAACACTCTCAGGAAGAAATGCTTCTGAACAGCAGAGGCCTGAACAAGCCCCAGCTCCACTCCCTTATTTCAGGGACTAATGTCACAGCACCAGTAACAGCTGTGGTTTGTGAAGCACCTGTTTTGTGCCTGGTGGAGACTATAGCCCCCAAGCTACAGAGGGGGAAATGGACTTGGGGAGGTGAGAGTTGGGGGTCCAAGGTCTGCCAGCCAAGGACTCCAAAGGGACCATGCTCTCCAGTGACCTCATTCCACCCGCTGCTGAAAGCAGTCATGTTGTGTCGGGGAGTTTCTCCTGTCTGAGCATCTTTGGATCACATTGAATGACCCAGGTAGGCATAGACTGTGGGATCTTCCAAGATGGGCTACAGAAGCGTAAGCTAATGGCTGCAGGGGGGCAGTAGGAGCTTAAAATATGACCAGAGCCATTCAGGCATCCCATGGTGGCTCTATTCTCTGGGCCCTCGAGTACCCAAATAGGTCATGCCTCTGTGATCTCGTAGGAAGGAAACAATGGTGTGCAGGGCCATGGTCACTCTGCTTCTTAAAGGCTGGGCAGAGATTGAGAATGCGCCAGCCACAGGAGCGGACGTGGTGCCCATGCCACATGGAAAAATGCCCATCCCACCAATTTGGGTTGGTCATTACCAGGGCCCAAGAAGGTCTCCCCCACCTTGGCACCTGTCCTGTTGGCTGTGGCCTCTGGCTGCCGTGCCCAGGAAATAAGGTGCTCATTCACTTAGAGAATTCCTATGAATGAGAGAGGGTAATGCTGAATACGCAGCAAAGAAATCAGGAAGTAAAGCGGGTGCTATTTTGGGGAGCAGAAGGCTGAGGAACTGGAGGAGCCCCTGCACCAACTTCTGCATTTCTATGACAAACGCTACCTGGTGGCCTATCTGAGCACGCATGTCCCCTGGGCCCCAACTTACAAGGCTCTCTCAGTGCTGAGAGGTTTCAGCCATCTCAGGCCTCAGCAGCGTAGTGCTGTAACTCGTTTGTGGGCTAAATGAATGAACTGCAGGTCTGCGAGGTCAGGGAAAATGTCTCACATCAGGAAATGTCCCAGAGTTGGCGACACTCATGTCAACCCATCATGGCTCCTGTGGCTGGCCCGGTGCTTACTCCTGCCGGCAGCCTGTGTGAAATGGATTCTAGACTGCTGCAGGTGGCAAGGGCCATCGCGGGACGTGTGTGTGTCTTCCCTCCACGTTAAGCAGTTCTTACAAAGAAGAGCCAAACAGAACGTCAGCGCCTGTCCTCATCAGCCAGGGAAGGGCTCCTGAGGTCTGTCTAGGCAATGCAGCCACCCTTGGTCCCTCTGTGCCCCCAACTCTGAGAGCCTGCTGTCTTCCTATGACCAGTCTTTCTGGGGGAGGGAAGAGGGTCTAGGACAGCCTCTCCCCACCATGGCCTGTTACCCCCTGAAGGAAGCCCCTGGCAGGGTGGGGAGTTCAGCCTCCTGGACGAGGCGCTCCCTGCAGAGCCCAGCTGGGATGGAGGTGTGGGATGGAGCCAGCATGGGGCTGAGGCACCCTGGCAGGGCCGCGGAGTTGAAAGGCTCCTAAGGACAGGAGCTGAGCTTTCCCTGAATCCTCAACTACGACAGACTGCACTAAACTGCTCCGGCAGCTCTCAAAGGGAGAATTTTTAAATGCCACCTGCAGGGAAAATGCTTCCTTAGTGGGAGAGGCCTTGAAAAGCAGTGGGGGTGGGGGGCGGGGAGGCCCCACAAGGTCCCTCCCTGGAGTGACAGCTAGTCTGCTGCTTGCAAATAGGCCTTTTCCTTCTGTATCTCCAGGGAGGGTGATGGGCAGGTCTGGGGGTCAAGCCAGGCCCTGTCCCCTCACTCAGCAATGGCCACCCTCACCCTTCCCCCCAGGAAAGAGAGCAAGGGAGACACAGCAGCCTCAGCACCAGAGCCCATGAGCCCCAAGGAGGGATGAGAAGTGGCCTGTGGTCAGAGCAGGACGGCGGGGAGGTCACACGAGGATACCCTGAGTCCCTGCCTTTGCTTCTGGCCCATGACCCTGGCATGGTAGCAGGGACCGTGCTGGGGAGGGTCAGCCTAGCATGTGGGGGAGAGTGGGCTGGGAGAACCCAGGAAGGGTGCCCACGCCAGGCGACCTTGGCTGAGCTGCTCTATGAATGGCTGCTCCCTGCTGAGGTCAGACCTGGTGTGGGGCTGGGCACTGAAGAAGTTCCAGACACCCCAGGGAGTAGAGCCACCTCCACCAGCACAGCTCTGACATCAGGCCTGACACCGAGAGGACAGATCTAGCCAGACATGCCTGGAGCTTCCACCTGTCCTGCCCCGCTCCCTGGGCAGGTCCCAGAACCAGGTCTCACTGTGACATTCCCCCTTCCTCAGTTGCCTTGGAGGGCAAAATTCTACTGGGACAGAGGACTCAGGTGGCCTCTGCCCTGAGCCGACAGGTACCCTACCATCAGTGGGGATGACACGAGGGGAAGAGCACGGGGCTGGTCTGTCACTTTCCGCCAGGCGGTATCGTGCCGAGAGGAAGGCTGCAAGAATGGTCTGTATATCTGTAGTGGGTTGAGCAGTGTCCTCTCCCCCAACTCACGCCCATCTGGAACCTCAGAATGTGACTATATTTAGATATAGGGTCTTTGCAGATGTAATCAGTTGTGATGAGGTCACACTGCATTAGGGTGGGCCCTAAATCAAAGAGCTGGTGTCCTTCTAAGAAGAGGAGACACACAGAGAGAAGGCCACGTGAAGTCAGAGGCAGAGATTGAGTCTAAACGCTGAGGAACGCCACCGAGTGCCAGAAGCCACCAGAAGCTAGCGCAGAGGCAAGGGACGGATTCTTCCTCTGAGCCCTCAGAGCCAGCCCCGCTGACATCTTGATTTCGGACATCTGGCCTCCTGAGCTGTGAGAGAACATGTTTCTGTTGCTTGAAGCAGCCCAGTTTGTGGTAATTAGCCACAGCAGCCCCAAGAAACAGACATGCCATCCCTCCCTAAATCAGCCTCTTAAATCAGACACTCTTAAATCATCGCTTTTAAATCATCCCTCTTAAATCAGCTGCTCCACCAGGCTTTGAGCCACCCCACCCAGCAGCTCCTGTCCAGGTCATCAGTGGCCTCCTTGTTGCCAAAGCTGACAGACAGTTCCCAGCTGTCAACCTCCTTGGCCTGGCATCGCTCTGTCCTCCCTGAAGCCCCTTCCTCCCTTGGCCCCCCAGACGCCACTCTCTGCCTGTCCTTGCTCCAGCCCCCTCACTCTCGAGCTGGTCTCATCCAGGGTCACAGCTTTAAACGCCACCCATACATGGATGATGCCTCCACCGACCACTGTCGAGGACCCAGGCTTGCAGAGCCACCTGATGCGTGGAACAAGCCTCTCACATCCGCCCCTGCCCCTCAGCCTGCCCCTCCCTCGGGCCTCCCCATCTCGGCTGGCGACAGCCCCACCCTTCCACCCGCCCAGGCCTAACACCTGGGGTCTTCTTGACGCTGCTCATCTTGCACCTACTTTGCTGATGTGCACCTTCCAGAGGGTCCCAGGGTCTGGCCCTGCTCACCGCGTCCACTGTTCCTAGCCTGGCCCAAGCCCCCATCACCTCTCACCTGGACAACAGTCATGGCTCCTCCCTGGCCATCCAGCAGCCACTCTGACCCCTTTCTCCCATTTCTACACAGCAGACAGAGCGATCCTTCTAAGACACAAGACACCCCCTCAATAAGGGCACCAAGTGTGAGTTTAAGCAGGTCAAGGCTGGTGGTTCTAACACACAGCACCTCGTCCTACTCCCTGCCCCACCCCTGCCGTGTGACTGAGGACAGTGCTCCACCCTCTGTGCCTTGCTTGCGTCCCAGGAACTGACCACGTCTATTCTCCCATCTGGATCCTCCAAGGTCAACTGGTGATGGGGAGCAGGGCTCATGTCTGACCGGGACTGGGGAAGACAAGAAGCCAAGGGGCCCTGGCATTACAATTCTGATGACCGAGAGGGTCCTGATGTGCCACTTGGAGTCTCCATCCAGATACCAGCTACAGATACAGTCCCTAGCAACTCGTTCCCATTCTCACAGCCCCCACCCACCCGACCCTTTTAAAATTTTCCAAACAAGAAAAATCATGAAAGCATCTAACTTCCCATCTGATGCAGAGCTAAGCAGGGCATTGTCTACTCACAAGACATACATCTGGGCTCCAGGACTGTTTTGGCAGAACCTTCTGTTCGATTAACACCCTGACTGGTCAAGGGCCAACAGGCCCCAGTCCCCTCCAGGGGTCTGTGTTCTGTAACAGAGCTGGGATACGCAAACTGTGAGGCCATGCAAACTCAGAGCTTGTGAGAGTATCAGCAGGCCTGCTCCTGCAGGGGACAGGGCTGGACCACTCTGCTGCAGACTCACAGTCTCGATGGCCAGACAACAGCAGCCCTGGTAATCCCCTCATATGCCTGTCTGCACAGAATGGGCATTACCCTCCCTGGATCCATGACCACCCCCTACTGGAAGGAGGGAGGCAGCGCTGAGGGCCAGGGCTCCCCAAGATCCTAGGTCTTGGGCAGGATGTGCTTGGGGCTTCCAATCTCCACCTGTCCCCGCCCATCTCCGCCCATCCCCGCTCGGGGCAAATTTGGCTTTGGACTGACTGCCACTCAGTTCAAATCTCCACCTGTCCCCGCCCATCCCCGCCCATCCCCACTTGCCCATCTCTGCTCTGAGCAAATTTGGCCTTGGGTTTACTGCCACTCAGTTCTGTCACCTGGGGAGACAGACTCACAGAACTTGCTCTGCGGGTTCCCTAGTCTACCTCGGAGGTTACTTCCTCAGGGATGCTCCCTGCTGGGTGCACACCTGGCCACCCCTGCCAAGAGCCCCATGACCTGGGGGTGCTGAGCTGCACGGGTGAGGGTGGAGCAACCTGGGAGACTGCACCACAGACACCCCGTCCAGCTGTCAGTTCACTGTCATTACCTGGTCAGAGCCAGAGTGGAGGACTGAGAGATAGGGTGGTGGAGGCTTCCAAAAAGAAACCTGTAAGAATTGGCTCATGCCTGATCATCCTGAACATGTTTTTCCAGTATCTCCCAAAGACTGAAGTCGGGAGGTGAGAGGGAGAAAGAGGAAGGAGAGGAAGAGGGGGTTGGAGCAGGAGGGGGACTGGGAGAACCTGTAGGTTTAAAGACTGCAAGACAGAGCTGGTGTCTGCACTCCTAAATCCCAGCGGGGGCCTCACGCACCACTCGCCTGGCCTGCAGGATGGGGTTAGAACTAGGGGTGCCAGGCCAAATCTGCCCCTTAAAGACAATCAGCTTGTGGGTGAATGGAGCTTTCTGCAGGTAGGATTTGCAGGCCAAGAGCTCCAGGAGTGAGGGCCAAGCATCAGAGGTAGACAGTTCTGGAATGCCAGGACCTCCTGCTACCACAGGCTCCCAGCCAGGCAGCCATGGAGCCCTCCGCCCCCCAAACCAGCACAGTGCCACAACGCATTGGCTATTTTCACACATAGTCTGAGAAAGAGCACTCTCCTTTCCAAAGGGACAGGCAGAAATCTCTGCTGACTCAGCCTGTTTCTAATCCACATGCTCCTCCCCAACAGTCTCCCAACATCATTACTGAACAAGCTGCTGTCAAGACTGTGTCCCAAAGGAGCCCACTCAGAAGCCTCCAGTACCAGAGAGGAAGACCCTAAAACTGTCTGAGTGAGGAAGGTCACTAGCTTTCATTTATCTGAGAAGCCCTAGTATCCCCAAGGCTGCAAACCCCAGCTCAATAATACACTGGCTACTGTGCTAGGATTTGGTCAACTACAGATCAAGACCGGAGGCAGGTCAACTACAGACAAAAAAAAGACCACCCATCCACCCATCCATCCATCCATCCATCCATCCACCCATCCATCCATCCATCCATCGAAATGGCATGGACCAGGCCCTATGCATGGTTTCAGGAGAGAGCATAATTTGCAGAGTCTATCCAATAGAAATTCAACGTGGGCCATATACATAATTAAAAATTTCCTAATATCCACATTAAAACCAGATGAAATAACTTTAATATTTTATTTAACCCAATAATTAAAAAATATGATCATATCCACACGCAAATCAATATAAAATTATTAATGAGATGTTTTACATTACATTTTGGTACCAGGTCTTTGAAATTTGGTGTGTATTTTACCCTTACAGCACATCTTAATTTGTACAGGCCACATTTCAAGCTCTCAAAAATCACATGTGGCAAGTGGCTACTGTATTGTACAGTGGTCCATCCATCCATCCACCCACCCATCTGTCCATCCATCCATCCATCCACCCACCCATCCACCCATCCATCCATCCATCCATCCATCCATCCATCCACCCACCCATCCATCCATCCACCCGTCCACCCATCCATCTATCCATCCACTCATCCATCCATCCATCCATCCACCCACCCATCTGTCCATCCATCCGTCATCCATTCATTCATTCATTCATTCATCCATCCATCATCCATCCACCCACCCCACCCACCCATCCACCCATCCATCCACCCATCCATCCATCCATCCATCCATCCATCCATCCATCCATCCATCCACTCGTCCATCCACTCGTCCATCCACTCATCCATCCATCCATCGATCCACTCATCCATCCACCCATCCATCTATCTATCCACCCATCTGTCCATCCATCTATCTATCCATCCATCCATTCATCCATCCATCCACTCATCCATCCGTCATCCATTCATTCATTCATCCATCCATCATCCATCCATCCATGAGGCACTGCCAGGTAATCTAGCAGACTCTGGCTATAATTCCTCATTCAACCAGAGTCACCTCTGAGTCGTGAGGGTCGCCTCTGAGGGTCTGAATACACTGGGATATCTACTTGAAGACATTTTAATTCCAACGACTGTGTAAACTTCTGGTTTGGGCCACGGGGACAGGAGAGGGCACTGCCTCAAAGAATGCAGGAGACACTTACGATCGAGTCCGTTCAAGTAGCGCATGCGGATCTCACAGTGGCCCCAGACGGCGCTCACTACAGGATACAGTTTTTTGCCCTTGAGTCCCCGAAAAGCCACTCCCATGTACTGTCCATCCACAATGAAGCTCAGGGTCCCATCATCCATGTCCAGGGCCACAAGGAAGGAGTCGGGGACGATGAATGTCTCATCTGGCTCCAGAAAGGCTGGGTAAGTTTTGCTTGGCTGGTTCTTGCCATCGTGGTAGAGCCGGTTGCGCCCCAAGTCCCAGCCCCAAGACTCATGGTTATTCCCCACGAGGGTAGTGTACCCGACGGAGTGCAGCGGGGCGTCCGCCGTCGCCACCCCCACCACGGCATGCGTGCCCCGCTGCCTCATGGCCCACGTGATCTGCCACACGTGCAGCCCGCGCGTGTACCCAACTTTGCCCCTGATAGCGTCTGTGCTCTGGGCCACCGGATGCCGGTGAAAGATGAGCTTGTCATCCTCCTTCACGAAGACGTTGAGCGAGCGGTCGTTGTTGTTCCAAGAGTGCAGCAGCTGCACGTCGTAGGACACGGGGGGCATGTCCAGCAGCAGGTCCAGCCGGGTGGGCTTGCAGTAGTCCAGACCCTGCAGCTCCTGCTTCAGGGGCCGACACGTGGGGTCCCTCATGTCCACGGTCTTAATCCCTCCGGTGACCTTCTGACCCATGTTCACCTTTGGTTTCACCTTCTCACCGACTCCCAAGGCAAATTCATCAATCTCGGGGCCTCGACTCCAGTTCTCTAGTCGGGCCCAGAAAGAATTCCTAGCGAAGGTTGCTAGGAGACCTCTGCGAGTTGTGGAGCGTCCGGTATTGCCTAGTGGTGGGAAGAAAAACAGGGGGCCAGGTAAGCAGGTGCAGGACGAAGGGGAAAGAGTTAGCCAGGACGGCAGGGCTGACCACAGCGACACGTCCCAGCAGCCTGGCGCCCGCCACACCTGATACGGGGCGGGCTGGAGTCCTGGCACGAATGAAATCCTCCTCGGTCCCTGTGGCTACATTGTCACAAAGGAAAGGGGCCATCCGCCCAGCAGTCTGCGTGGAGGGGTGGGCTTAGGGGCTGGTATCCTCTGCCGGGTACCATCTGAGACACGTGGCTGATGCCCACCAAATGCCTGATGAGGGTTTCACAGGGTGGAAGGACGAGGTGGCACAGGACCTGTAATCGGCCATGACACAGGAGGTGTCTTTGTGGTCAAAGCAGAAGGAGGCGTGTGGCCCTCACCTTGCTGTTTAGGGGGAAGGGGGAGGACCAAGTAGCAGCAGTGGAAGTGCCACATCTCAGTTCATCCCTCTTCTCCAGCACTGCCACTCTAGGGAACCCCGGGGCAGACAGAAAGCTCAATGTGGGGGTCTGTGCATGCACTCAGCGGGCAGGGCCCCAAGAGCCTCTGAGCTGCAGCAAGTCCCTGAGCAGATCTAGTGTCCCACCTGGCCACAGTGACACTCTTCGCAAGGCCCCTGGGCAGGTCTCAGTTTGGCTGGGCATGGGGGCTCTAAACCCCCAAGCCCCAGGTAGTTCTGGACCAACACTTAGGTGACCAGCCACCTCTTCTTCCTGTCCACACCCTTCAACTAGAAGCCAATGTTTCATCCTTTGGGTCTCAACAGCCCATCTGGGGAGGAAGTCTCACTCCAAGACACTTCACTCCTGCTTTGGCTTCACTGACCCCTAGATCCTTTACAGGAGAGCAGGGACACAGGATTGGAGGAGGAGGAGGAGGAGGAGGCTGAAGATGTGGGACTGGCAGGACATCCACCACCCTCGGTGTCCAGCCTTGGATAAGGGGAAACACCGTGTTGTTTTGGCTTCCTGGGCCTCACTCAGGAGAAAAGATTCTTTCTGCCATTGAAAACCTCCCTGGCCTCTGGAAGGGACTCTTGGCTGCCCAGTGTGGGGGACAGGCTCCTAGGATCCAGCAGACAAGCGGGAAGGCACGTTCCCGGCTAAATAAATGCAACTAGACAGGCTTGCAGAGGAGCCCGGCGAGAGGCTGCTGGGGAGCGCGTCATGCGGGGTTGCCTGTTCCAAGGTGCCCGACTAGAGGGACAAAGAGAACATGAAGGAACCTGGCATGGGGGAGACTGCAGGCTCCCAGACACAGGGAGATCTGGGGACTTCAGAGCACTGGCCTCCCTGCTCTGCGCGGGGCGGCAGGGCTGGGGTCTGCCGTGGGGCTGGCCTGAGCTGCCTCCCTCTCAGCTGGGAAGAGACCCCCTGAGATGGCGTCCTCAAGGCAGCCGGGCCTCCTGGAAGCTTGCTCCTAGCAGAAGGCTCATGAGTGGAGACACCTGGTTCCCTGGACCCTTTATCTCTGTGGGAAGGTCACGCTTCTCGCCCTCCCCTTTCTGGTGTGACACAGAGGGCCCCGTTGGTCCCAGAGGCACAGTCATCTCTTCAGAGGCGGGCTAGGACTCCTTGTGTGCAATGTCTGCAAAGCAGGTGCAGAACCGAGGCATGCCTTTGCAGCTGGAGGACTGCCCTGATTCTGGAAAGTTCTGTGAATACTGTGATCTCACATCCTGGATCTCCCAGGACAATCCCAATTTCAAGCTTTCAGTCCCATCCTCTCCTCTCTTGAGAGCCACCAAAGCCTCCAGTCCCTCATCCCTCTCTGCCATGCTAAGGGGCACCCCATGGCTTCTGGGGCTGCTGGAGGTGGCAGAGAGCCTGGTTTTGCATAGAAACGTGATCCTAGGAACGAGACCGATAGGCCCAGCTTGGCTGTCACCTTCCGCCAGCTCCCATCCCCTGTCCTCCCGACCTCCATTCCAGCATCTTTCTGAGCTGGGGAGGCTGGTCCAAGGCAGCGGTCAAAGTCAGAGCTCCATATCTCGGCCTGGACACCCCTCCAGCTTGGTGCCCAGTGACCTCTCCACATTCTCAATGCTGCAGGACCCTGTGGGGACTGAGGTCAGCTCCCTGGGTGGACAAGGAGATTAACTTTCTAAGAGAGTTCATTTTACTGCTTCACACAGCGAAGCAGCTTGTTGCCCCCGCCAGCTCTGTTGTCACAGCAGGAAGGACCTCTCTGCTTGGATCTCATCTGGCATGGAAGAGTCACCTCTGCCCCCCATGCAGGAACAGGTGGAAGAGTGAGGAGGCTGGAGCGGGGAGATGAGGTGCTGGGGGCAAGACGGAGGGGGGGAGAGGTTCTCTCAACGCAGTAATTCAAAATACTTGGATGGGTGGGGACGGAGAAGGACCTTAACAGTGAGATTGGGAGGCGGGAAAGAGGCAGAGAGGAGTGGACAGCTTGGAGGTGGAGAGGGGGATGGGGAGATGAGGGGGATGGGGAGATGAGGGGGGAGAGGGGAGCTCTTAGGCCAACACGCTGCGGCCTGGACACACGGGACTCCTGTTTCAGTTAGACCAGGAGTCAGCAAACTTTTTTTGCAAAGGGCTCAATAGTAAATGTTCCAGACAGTCTCTGTGCAACGTCTCAACTCTGTTGTTGCAGCACAAAAGCAGCCACGGACAGCACATAAAGGAGTGAGTGTGGCTGTGTTCTAATAAAACTTTATTGACAAGAACGGGCCAGTCCACAGTCTGCTACCCCCTCTACTGAAGATGCAGCGTGCCAGGGCCACAGTGGGCAGCCTGAGATGGATGTCAGCAGGGATCTCTCGGCCTCAAGGCTGGCACAGACTCAGAAAGAGCAATCAGAAAAGACAGCATCACCTTAATGGGGCTCGGCCACTGTCTGTCCAGGTCAGCCCCACAAGCTCTTCTAGTTCTGGGACGCCACCACCTCCAAGGACCATGAGTCCCAACGCCAGCCCTGTTCCAGGCTTCTTCCCTTCTTGGGCCCCCATGTTGCGAGTTGTCAGACAGGGAGGGCCCCCAGGCCTTGCACCTCCTGGCTTTGAAGGGTGGGAACCCATGGGAGGGAAGGTTGGGGGGAAAGAAGGCTGGAGGGAGGACAGGGCGTTGTCTCTGGGCAGGGAGGGCAGGGAAAGGAGCCTGAGGAATCGAGGGTGACCTCCTCACAAGGCACCCCGGGGCTAGCCAGGGGATGCGGGCCCTGCTGCTCTGGGCCATCTGAGTCATTCCCTGGGTGGTCAATTGCCACAGTGACCCTAGGGTCAGTCTTGACTCATCTGTCACCTGCCCTGTGTCCAGGCTACAGTTAAAGATGTCACTTCCTTCCTGTCAACTTCCTTCTGTTCACACCTAGCCACCTCCTTGCCATGCAAGGACACCAGAGCCACCCAGCCACCCTCCTCCTATTTTACAATGTGGCCACACAGATCATCCTCGCTGTGGGTCCCCTGGGTGCTTCCCTGGTCCTGCTTCCTGTGGCTCCCAAGAGCATGCTTGGGTCACTAACATTCACCTTTGGCTTTTCCCAGCTTTAGTTTGCTCATCGGTCCAATGGGTGTCACCTGTGTGTCACACACTTACCTAAACCTCATCAGAGACAACATTCCAAAGAGGGCCTGGCACAACTGGCATTTTTACTTTTGTTTGTATTTTCTACACTGTTCTGTTCACTGAACAAAGAACACTGTTAACCAGCTTCCTGGTCACCACACCTGGTCCTGCAGATGGACACCGTCTTTGGGCCATGACCCAAGTGCTTGCAATGCTGGCCTAGAACAGATCAAGTTTAAGATCCCTTCTAAACCAGGGGTCCACAAACTTGTTCTGTGAAGGGTCAGAGAGTAAATATTTTAGGCTTTCCAGACAGTATGTAAATGAACGGACATAGCTACATTTTAATAAAACTTTATTTACCAAAACAGTGAGCTAGATTTGGCCCAGGGGCTGCAGTTTGATGACCTCTGTTCAAACCCATGCAAAACTGCTGACACCCAGCACACAAATACATGGACATGGAGCTTGGGACGGGCTGGGGGTGCACCACCCGCAGGTGCTGAGTGACAGGCACTGGTGGGCCTGTGCAGCGCCTGTATCCCTGGGCAAGACAGGCATCCCTGGGCCAGGAGGGAATCCAGCAGCAGGGGCCAAACTTCAGGCAGGAAGTGGGAGAACCAGTGCGGGTCCCAGCTCTGGGGCCACCCCCATTTCCTGCCGTTCTGAGAAGCAAATGCAGATGCCCAGGCCTGGCAGGTCTGGGATTGTGGAGCGAGCAGTTGGTGAGTCTCCAAGAGGTGGGAGGACTCAGCCCTTTTCCCACCCAGGAGAAGCAAAGCCACAACGGGCGTGGAGGGTGCGGCTGTGTACTGCCTGCAGGGCTGGAAACGGGAGAGCAGAGGACAGAGGTGGCTTTGCTGCCACCACCACCACCCACCAGCCACTCGCAAGTGCACACCTACATGCGTACACACGCACACACACTCATTTACGTGCACACATGCATGCTCACATGCACACACACACTGGCACATGTGTGCCCGCACTCCCAGCAATGGCAGCAGCGGTGGCTGAGGCGGATGGGCAGACAGAGGCGCGGAAGTCCAGCAGGGCCTTGGCTGGTGGCTCCTACACCTCGTTCCCTTAGTGGAAGATTTCACTCCCAGAAAGCATGCTGTCCCATTAGCCACGGTGCCCCCCATTCCTCCTCACAGCCATCTCAAGCCACCCCCGAAGACAGACAAATTCTTAGCTTGTACCTCTCTTACTCCACCAAACTCTGGTCACCCCCAATAACAAACAGTTCCCACTGTCCTCAGCCCCCAGGCTGCACAGGCCGGTTGCCACTCAGTGTTCCAGTGCCTGGTGCTTCCCAAAGACCAGGGGCGCTCCTGGCGAAGGCTGAGGAGCTCGTCAGGGAGACCCGGGGCTCCGGCAGAAGGCAGGGATTTGCGTGCTTGACGGGTGGGTTGTCACCCTGTGCATGGGCTCGGGTGCAGTGAGATGAATGTTCCAACCAGGAGAAAGAATGT